ACGTTATGGTTATATTTATCTACTACATGAAATGACTCAATCATTGGACTATCCAAAAATATACAATGATGAGATGGAAAGGTAGTTAGATAAATAAGTAAAAGTTGTGAGATCTCACTAGAGTGGTGAATATTATTGTAAGTTCAATAAAAGAGAATAATATCCTAGTCCATTTGCAAAGTTTCTTGAGATTTGAAATACTTGTGTGCAATACACTATAATAGAGACTCTCCAACATAATGGTGTTGCTGAGAGGATAAACCATACTTAAAGAATATTGTTAGAGGTAGGTTGAGTAATTCAACATTAACGTTTTCTATGTGGATGCATGTATTAAAGATTACTGTATATTGGATAAACAGAGTTCCTAGTAAGGCAGTTCCTAAGACACCTTATGAACTGTGGACGGGTAGGAAACCTAGTTTGAGGCACCTTCATATTTGGGGTGTCAAGCAGAAATAAAAGTATATAATCCACATGAAAAGAAACTTATTCCTAGGACTGCCAGTGATTATTCATTAGCTATCCGAAATGTTCTAAAGGATATAAGTATTATAGACCTAACTATAGTACGAGCATAGTTGATTCCAGCGATGCTCGGTTCATTGAAAATGATAAAATCAGTGGGAGTTTGAAACCGCAAAGTGTGGATGTCAAAGAAGCTCGGGTTGAACAGTCCAAACCCAAGAGTCCATCAATAGTTGTTATTCATTTTGTTACAGTAACGTCATGTAACTTGGATGAATAACAAAATGATCCAAACTCACTTGATAATGAATCGGTTACAAACACTCAAGAAATTATAGGACAACCTTTGGTTGATAAAATCACAAGCCATGAAAAGTAAAAATTCTGAAAAGTTTATCAATGCCATGAAAGAATAATTAAAGTCAATGGATGAAAATAAAGTCTTCAATTCAATTGATTTACCTGAAGGGTCTAAAAGAGTTGTGTGTAAATGGATTTTTTCGAAACCAAGCACGGCTCTAAAGGTAATATCGAAAGATATAACGTTAGACTTGTTTCTAAAAGTTACACCCAAAAGGAAGGCATTGACTACAAGGAAGCATTCTCTCTCGTTTCAAGAAAGATTCCTTGAGAATTGTAATGGTAATGGTGGCTCTGTATGTTTTTGAGCTGTATCAAAATGGACATAAAGATCACCTTCTAAATGATAAACTTAGAAGGAGATCTACATGAATTAATTAAAAGTTTTTTAGATCACAAGAAATGAAACGTTAGTGTACAAGTTGAATAGATCGATATATGGGCTAAAACAAGTCTCTCATGAATGGTATCTTAAGTTTAATGATACCATTACTGCTTATAGATTTGTAGAAATACCGTAGATCGGTGTATCTACATTAAGGTCAGTGGGAGTAGATTTGTTATTTAGTTTCGTATGTCGATGACATATTATAGTTGCTAATAATGTGGACATGTTGCACGAAGTAAAGTATTATCTCTCTAAAAAAGTTATGAAATAAAGGATGTGGATGAAACGTCCTTGCTAATTGGAATAGAAATATTCTGGAATAGATCACAAGGACTAAAAGTTTATCCCATAAAAGTTTTATTTGAGAGATAATGGATGGTTGTTCCATATAATTCCAATTCATAAAAGTCACATTTAATCTAAAATAAATGTTTCAAAGGTGAAATGGAATGAAAAGTGATGGAGGAAATTCCTTAGATATAAATGATTAGGAGTCTTAAGCGAGACGAACCTGTACTAGGTTTGATAACATATTTGTTGATGGTACATTAAACAAATATATAAAAGTAATCCCTAAATGATTATTTAAATGCTGCAAAGAAAATTTTAAAGTATTTACAAGGCATTAAAGAACACATGCTAACTTAAAGAAGGTCCAAATTATTTGGTATAATTGGTAATCGGATTCAGACTTTTGCTCATAATGTCTAAAGAAGCAAAATTATAGAAAAGTGGGACAAAGAAAGTCCATCACTGCGACTTCCACGATTAAGTTTGAGTTTGTGGTATGCTTTGAGGACACAAGTCAAATTTAGGGCTACGGTGCTTTATCTTAGGACTTGGAAATGTCGACATCTTGTCCAAGCCGCTAAGAATTATCGCAGTATCGTAGCAATAATATTTCAAGGAATGACAAGTATTCAAAGGGTGTGAATCACATGAAATTAAAATACTTAGTCGTAAAATATAAGTGAAGAAAAAATAAAGTGTCATTTGAGCATTTTAGTACTATTGCATGAAAGCGGATCCATTAAAAGGGTTATTCCCTATAGCCTTTGGAAGGCATGTAAAGAAAGCTGGGAATAACGAATGGGGCCTTGTTGGACTGACCGATACTGAATGAAATTGCTCAATTATTGATTTTGACACTTATTGAATTCAATTAAAGATGTTTGATTCTTCACATATAATACCATCATTATGGATATTTGATTTTATAGTGTATACATAAAAGTTGGATGGCTTATGGTTATGGTACGAATAGCTTGTTCCATATTAAAGCAAAGTTGAATTAGAAATGATTTGTGGTACATGGAAGGGATCATGTCGCTCGAAGACTTGTGACCGCCATGACTCGGTTAATTTCTAATTTGATTTTAAATTTATAGATATATGTATTCAATCACAAGTTTGATGAAATGTGCGCGCTTAAGTAGTTCTTTTGGTTTCGACACTATATGGTCCAAGTGGGAGAATGTAATAATATTTTATATTATTCTATTATTGTGGACCATATAATTAGTTGGACCTAATTGAATTAATAGTCAAACTTAATTAAGGTGAATATGTATTTAATAGATTATTAATGTTCTAATATTAAAGAGTCCAATTTGTGATGTTTGACTTGAACGTTAAGTTAGGTTAGAACATGGGGAATGTTAGTAGGAATAGGTTTGTAGGACTCCTCCTATATATACTACATGTCCCTCTCTCCCATCTCATACGAAAATAGAGTTCTCAACATCAAGGGCTTTATGAAAAGACGAGAGACACGGGAGAGAGAAACAATTCATAGGCAAAGGCGAATCCATCATTGGAGATTATGAGAAACATAGATAGATCCATGAGATTACGAAGAGGAAGAGAACGCAGATCAACATCATAGATCAAGAAAACAGGGAAGGACTATAAGCTGGATTCTTGTAAGTTCTATGTGCAATTTAATTTATGCAAAGATCCATATTCTATGAATTGATAGAATTACATATGTAGGGTTTATTCAATTCCGCTTAATTTTTATGAGTATGCCCGTTAAATTTCTTACATAACGACGCAAAAAATTCATCAGCTATCAACCAAAAAAGAAATAAAATAATTTAAAGTGATAATTTAGAAAAAAAGTGTAAACAAGCTCTATGATATGTACTTCAAATCAATTGAAAAGAAGATTAAAGCGAAATTAAAATCCACCTTTAGCTTCCTCGACTCCCTTTAATATATCGCTAATTTCTAGTATTCTTGAAGGCAACTAGAAATGTTCTAGATGATTTAAGAATGTAATTATATACATTAAAAAGAGAGAGAGAGAGAGAGAGAGAGAGAGAGAGAGAGAGTGGTCAACGGAGAATGAGGGTTTAGTTGCAATAAAATGTCATTTTACAATCAATAATTGTTAATTATATTTTATCGTCAAATTGGTGATTGAAAAGATGGAGAAGAAGGAAAAATGGGATGAAATGAAGAGTCCACTGTTTTCCGTTTTAATAATTAGTTGATTTGTACCGAAAAAAAAAATAATTAGTTGATTAAGAGGTTGTTGCAAAATGTTGAGTAGAAATTAAGCTACTTGATTTTCATTGTAATTGCGAAAAAGACGACCGATTTCTTTATTGTTGACATTTGGCCGATGCTACCAAAAAAAAAAGTTTTTTTTTTTTCTTTTATATATATTTGAAAATAAAAAACTTCAGAATTCTTTTTCATATTGTTGATGATGCTAGATTTGACCTAGAACTTTAGTGTATAATAAATCTCACTTATCCCCGTAATTCCTACCATAGTTTGGTAACAACAATGAAGAGATTGAGAGATCACATCATCAAATACGACATCAAAATTACATTAATACATAAAAAACCACAAAAATTCAGTAACTTTTTAGGTGGAAGATTCCTCACTTCTTCACCAAATTGAGAAGCTAGATTCGTTGGGATCACATTGTACATCACCAAATAAATTGTGTGGATATCATATTTGATAGAAAATCATCTTATTACTAAGAATTGTTCATCATCCATGCTTCCTAGGATCAATCCTATTGAATATCCATTTCCGAATCTTTAATAATAATAATAATAATAATAATAATAATAATAATAATAATAATAATAATAATAATAATAATAATACCATCCTTTATGGTTACACAAATAGTCATAATTTGTTTCAATGTTATAAATGGTATATCTTTGTGTCACAATCGTGTTATAAGTCTGCATCTATATGTGTTTTGGTGACAAAAGATAAAGCAAGCAATTCCTTTTCTAAAGCCACTCAATATGCTATATGTATAAAATCCATATACATGACAAATCTTTGTAACCACCTTAACAAGCTTTACTATTATTGCCAAGTTCTTCAAATAGTGTTTTAATTAGCTGCAGGTGTATATTAATTTGTTCATAAATGTTGAAATCAACAAATTATTTTCTCAACACGCTGACTATCTGCCATGTCGTCCACAAGAATTATTAAAGAACAAAATTATTAAATTGTTCGCTGTTACATGAGTATTGGTGAATATTCAACTCCATTAAGAGAATTAAAATCAACTATAGACGAATCAAAATACAGAAAATAATTAGTAAGGTTAATTCCACAGAACTCGTCACACCACCAAGTTTTTTACATACAAATCTTGTGTTAAGATATAATTTTCTAATTCTCTCTTAAATAATTAATTAATATAATATATATGACTCAACACGAATAGTAATAAATTTAATTTAAATTTGGATTACAAGTTTCTTACAATGTAGTATCACAAGATAAAGGATCCCTCCCTTCACATGATGGTGCAAAAAGGATCTCTCTCTTCACAAACATGGTAATGAGGATAGCTGTAATAAGGTTGCGGAGGAAAACCAATAACCGACGGACAGCTGGGCTTTTTCTTGTTCTCTCCCACGCTGACCAGCTCAGCATAGGCTACTTTCTTCCTCAGCTGCCTCGTCAGCTCCACCGAATCTATTCCGACTCCTATGACCACGACATGATCGTTTTCCTCTCCCGTTAGCTCCGCGGATTCAACTCCTTAATTATGAATATAAATTCCACAATTAAAAGAAAGAAAGAAAGAAAGAAAGGAATATTAAAATACTTTTTTGTGAAAATTGTATTTTTTTCTTGTGGAAAATATAATTATATTTTCATAAGTCTCTTACCATGCATGGTGACAGCAATTTTCATAGCTTTGGTGCGGCACTTGGGGCAGTGCATAAGAACCTTAATGACAATCTTTTGCTGCATGCCAAAAACAAATAAAATCGACAGTATTTAGCAAATTATGATCTTTAACCAATGATTAAAGAAACATGGAATTGAAAAATAGAATTGTACATAATTTTGTTCAAATTGAACTGATTACCTTCATTTGTTTCTTGATTTTCCGGCTGTTTTTCGAATTGAAAATGGGCTAGCTCAAGTGGAAGAAAGAGGATGACTTTGAGAGAGGCTGGACTCTGGAGTGGCAGAATTTGGATATTTATGCGGGGAAAAAAAATAATTAATACTATATTTATATATGAATGGAAAAATAATAAATACTATATTTATATATAAATGTAATACAATTAAATAAGTGTCACTGACTTAGTATAATAATGTGTACGAACCTCATAATTGTAAGGCCACTTGTGGTACACAAATTGGACCGCGAAATATATAAATCGGCCCCCGAAGTGAATTTTAGAGTCTAAATTAGAGAGTAGATCAATTTTCTTTGTATTGTATATTTTTTGAAATATGTATTTTCTGGATGTTTTCTATAATTGCTATTCTTTCATTACTTTCATGTAGAGACATATAACTAACACATAAAGTCCTCATCATCTCTCCCAGATTTGGGCATTTCGTAGCAACAGCTACAAAAGCTATTTGGAGTTGATAGATAATATATATGTACATCAAAGACATACATGCTGAAGGTTGTGTTTGGTTGGGTTGTATGGGTGCAATATTACACAATTTCATAATATTTATTTGGTTGTTCTTTTTCTAAGTTTCTACAGACTACAAATAATGGTCCGAATATTATAGATGGAAAGAAATTGGAAGTTTTTTTTCCTTTGAAATTCTATTGTAGTTGAACAATTTTAAATGTAGATTATAGATAAAATTTGCAAATTCAATTGTAAATAGAGGACAATGAGTAAATCAATCTATTTAATAATTATTATCAAACAAAAAGTTAATGAGTCTAATTATTTTATCATAGTGATTGAGTCTTTAACTTGTAAGAAAAATAATAATCAAGCTAACGAAACAGTTCCAAATCAAAGATTTGAACATCGATGGCGTGATATCAAAGTCATAATATGGTGCCATAATCTCACGATCCAACGCCTAATATCTATTGTGGAATTGATAGGATGGATATTAGGCGTTGGATCGTGAGATTTATGGCACTATATGGTGCCCATATGGGCACCATAGAATTTCTGCAATTATTAGAGGTAACGAAAAACAAACAAAAACATTATTATATAATTACTATAAACAAAGCTATTTTTGTATGATATTAAGACATACCCTTGGATTAGATAGTAGTTAGTAGTTAATTCCATATGCACGTTCAAGAGTAGGTTTTAGGCTTTGATTGGCCGGCCATCGTTTTCCGATTGCTTATCCAACGCAATTTACTTACAATCTTTTAACTTGATCTTAAACTTGCTAATTGAAGCTACATCTAATAATTGGGTGGAACTTTTGTGAATTGTGACTTTGTCAGCTGCTTAGCATTAATCTAATGTTTTGTTCCATTTAACGTAGCCAAGTATTAATAATTTATTTTAGTGACAACTAGAGATTCTATGGGAAAACTGATATATAGAGACATATATAGTTCACGATCTTCGGAAATTCTAAATTATTGTTAGGTAGAGAACTTTTTGGGGCAAAATTTTTCCATTTTTTTTATGCCGTTACGGGGACCACAGATACCAACTTATGCAAGAGGTTTTGATGCCAATTTATTGCCATATATATATATAATTGCTAGAAAAATAATTAATAAAAACATTTTCGTTTCCTTCTAGAAAATGTTACAAAATTCTATCATTAATATTTTTTTTTTCTTTCCACTTTATTCTACTTATATTTAAATGTTACATTCCATATTATTCAACTTTTATATGTAGTATAATTTCTAATCTTTTTACATAATTTAGTCATTTTATTTTGTCACCCACTTAACTTTTATATATTTTTTAAAAAATTTTGGTTTGAAATCATATATTAGCAAATTTAATCTAACCGATTTAATTTAATAAAAAATTAATTTGTTACTTTCGGACTTTTCTTTTATGTTATGAAAATGTGTAAAGGAATTATACATTAATATTACATTCAAGCAAAATACAAACTCAATTAAATAACAAATAAAAAAATCTCCATTTATCTCCATTTATTCACTCCTCCAATTCGAATAAATCTTGCACTAATTTTTCAGGAAAATCTATAAATCTAATCCGTTTCCAAATTAATGGCTTGTAATCATCAAAACAATGGAGGGGTAAATAATTGTACAAATTTTAATTTTATTTTAAAATAAAAAAACTTTATTCGTGAGGGGAAAATCTTATTTAAGGATAACTGAAAACCAATGTTTTGGGTACAAAAAAATTTGAACTTAGTGAAAACAATTGATCCTTATACTAATAATCCAAGTTAAAGATTCACTAATGATAAATCTTGCCACGTAGTGTATTTATTCTAACATTGTAGTTTTGCTCTCTTTAAATATTTTTTCGTTAAGTTGTGTCGATATCTCATAAAATTGGATAATTAGAAATCAATCGGTAGTTAAGAACCAGCTAACAATATATATATAGGGAGTGCTTCAAATAAAAACCTTTTCTGGTGTAAGAACCGTGAGAACCATATTTGATGCTATTTTTAATTGTGTATGATGCTATTTTTAATCTTACATGGTGCTATCATTTTTACAAATGCTAACATAAATTGTGTTGCTATTTTTAAGAAAATACATCCTGATTAAAAAGAGCACTAAATACAATCAATCATAGCACTACATACAATTAAAAATAGCGGTTCTTACGGTTCTCACGCTAGGACTTGGTTCTCATTTGAACCACATCCTATATATATATATATATATATAGGATTTGGTTCAAATGAGAACTAAGTCATAGCGTGAGAACCGCTATTTATAGTTGTACGTAGTGCTATGATTGATTGTGTTTTAGTGCTATTTTTAAAATATATCTATTTTCTTAAAAATAGCAACACAATTTATATTAGCATATGTGAAAATGATAGCACCATGTAATATTAAAAATAACATCATACATAATAAAAAATAGCATCAAATACGGTTCTCACGGTTCTCACACCAGGACTAGTTTTTATTTGAACCACTCCCTATATATATATATATATATATATATATATATGATGTGGTTCAAATGAGAACCAAGTCTTAACGTGAGAACCGTGAGAACCGCTATTATTAATCGTATGAAGTGCTATGATTAATTTGTTTTAGTGCTATTTTTAAGCAGGATGAATTTTATAAAAAATAGCAACACAATTTATATTAACATTTGTGAAAATGATAGCACCACGTGATATCAAAAATAGCATCATACA